TTGTTTTTTTTTCTCAAGTTGTGATTGGAGTTGATTGACATTGTCTGACCAATCAGCAATTGTTTTTCGTAAATGGGTTCAGGATATATCTTGAATCTTTACTCTCAGGAGATGAAAAGTACACGTAAACAACGATCCATAAGATAAGTATACCATGCCATTCTATGAAAAGCTATATGGTGCCATCCAATATCTTAATTTCCCTCCATATTTCTAGACATGTTTTTAAATAAATCTGTATATTTTATACAACTCCCAACTTCTTATAGTTGTTTCTTCAAGCAATAAACTCGGTTGAATTAGAATTTTCAGCAATTTCCCAGACAATTCAAATCAAGCCAGTTTATCCCCTGTAGAGGCCATATAAAGGGTTAAAAATATACAAATTGGTTTAAAAATGTGCCTGGAATTAGGGGATGAAGAAAATTTTGTGCATTATCGGATCAGTATTAACAGGGTGAAAGAGTAATACTGTGGTTTCATCATTATTCATGGAACACCAATTTTCATGGATTCGTTGTTGAGTTGATCCACGAAATCAAATGTTCAACGAAGTTTGGTGCCTTCATTTTGATTTACGATAAACCTTTTCAAAGCTCATTCCGACTTTCGTTGATATATATTTATTACCCCTACCCCCTTTTTTCCTCAATAGATCGACTTTAAAGACCTAGCTATTTTTCCTTTTTTTAAATAATTATTTTAAAAAATGAGGATATGATTTTAAATAATTATCTGAATTTTTTTTTTAGTGAAACGTTTTGCATGGAGATAAACAAACAGCACGTAGATCTGTCAACTCAGTGCATATACCAATCAGCGACATACCCCCCAAAGGCATAAGATGATAATCAGGCGTAAATGTGTTAAATTGTTTTCTCAAATGATTTAAGTGTCCAAACCCCAATTATCACCTGTACAGTGAAAACAACAAATTACCGTAACATAAAAAATCTGATAGAGATAATTTATTAATCTCTGCCGTTAAACATGCTAAATTCAAACAAATTATCAACACAATTTAATGCTATTTGAATTTTATCTGTTTGCTTAGAAACATATTTTTGTTATACATGAGGTAATGGGTATACATGTATGCTGCGAAAGTCCTGTCATTCATGGCTGAATTATTGTCGTTCATATTACTTGTTTAAGCGGATGTTGTACCCATCACGCATGATCGCACGTGAATGTGTTTGTTCTGAGATCTTCAAACATGGGGTCTGGATGTCTCTGTCAAGTCCCGAAACACGCCGTGCATGTGAAAATGAGTTACTAACGCCATTTTGTGAATTGAAATAAAACTTAATTGTTGTTACTTTTAATATCATGTTGCAACTTAATTACTGTCTGTTTTCCACTCTTGTGATTATAATTTTTGTCCGTATTCCACACTTGCGAATTAAAGGAATAATTCACTGTTGAAGGTTCTGACTTTTGAAAAGCCAATGGAGATAAATAAATAATTTAAGAGTTTTCTCCTGTTAGTAATTTTCTTAAAATATATCTACGTATCTTAACATTGTAAATGGTACAATGTTCCCGCTAATGCATAACGACGAAAGAGAAAATGAAAATATAGACAATTTTTTTGTCTGTTAGGACCATTATCAACGAATTTACGTATCCACGAAACTGTGATTTTTACTAAATCCACGAAAATTGATGCCCACAAATATTAATGAAACCACAGTATATAAAACCATAATGCTACAATTCTGCAGCTATATTTTATCAGTGTTTTGATTACTTCTGTCAATGATGCAATCTGTGCATTGTGATCATGTAACAAAAACAATCCCTTATTTTGTCAGGACAGTATGCCAAGGGTTTATGAGGAGGTAGTGAAACCATTGGTTTGCAAAGATGCTTCGGAAAATAAAAACAAGAGGCCCATGGGCCACATCGCTCACCTGAGAAGCTTTGACCATTCTGTTCTTTACCAGATTTCCCCCTTGTTATACATAATGCATCCCCACCCTGAAATCTACACTACCCCATGATCCTTCCATGGGCACATATGTTTCAGCTTTTTTGGCCCAGTGGTTCCTGAGAAGAAGATTTTCAAAGATTTTTCCCATATATTTCTATGTAAAACTTTGATTCCCTATAATGGCCCCGCCCTTCCCCCGGGGGTCATGATTCCTACAATTTAGAATTTACACTACCCCAGAATGCTTCCACATAAGTTTCAGCTTTTCTGGCCCAGTGGTTCTTAATAAGAAGATTTTCAAAGATTTTTCAAATATATTTCTATGTAAAACTTTAATACCCCATCGTGGCTCCGCCCTTCCCCCGGGGGTCATGATTTGAACAATTTAGAATCTACACTACCCCAGGATGCTTCCACATAAGTTTCAGCTTTTCTGGCCCAGTGGTTCTTGAGAAGATTTTCAAAGATTTTTCCTATATATTTCTATGTAAAACTTTGATTCCCCATCGTGGCCCCGCCCTTCCCCGGGGGTCATTATTTGAACAATTTAGAATTTACATTATGCCAGGATGCCCCCACATAAGTTTCAGCTTGTCTGGCCCAGTGGTTCTTGAGAAGAAGATTTTCATAGATTTTTCCTATATATTTCTATGTAAAACTTTGATTCCCCATCCTGGCCCCGCCCTTCCCATGGGGGTCATGATGTGGACAATTTAGAATCTAGATTATACCATTATGCTTCCACATAAGTTTCAGCTTTTCTGGCCCAGTGGTTCTTGAGAAGAAGATTTTCAAAGATTTTTCCTATATTTCTATATAAAAACTTTGATTTCCCATTTTGGCCCCGCCCTTCCCCGGGGGTCATTATTCGAACAATTTAGAATCTACATTATAACAGGATGCTTCCACATAAGTTTCAGCTTTTCTGGCCCAGTGGTTCTTGAGAAGAAGATTTTCAAAGATTTTTCCTATATTTCTATATAAAAACTTTGATTTCCTATTTTGGCCCCGCCCTTCCCCCGGGGGTCATTATTCGAACAATTTAGAATCTACACTATACCAGGATGCTTCCACATAAGTTTCAGCTTTTCTGGCCTAGTGGTTCTTGAGAAGAAGATTTTCAAAGATTTTTCCCATATATTTCTATATAAAACTTTGATTCCCCATCGTGGCCCCGCCCTTCCCCCGGGGGTCATGATTTGAACAATTTAGAATCTACACTATACCAGGATGCTTCCACATAAGTTTCAGCTTTTCTGGCCTAGTGGTTCTTGAGAAGAAGATTTTCAAAGATTTTTCCTATATATTTCTATGTAAAACTTTGATTCCCCATTGTGGCCCCGCCCTTCCCCCAGGGGTCATGATTTGAACAATTTAGAATCTACACTCCCCTATGATGCTTCCACATAAGTTTCAGCTTTACTGGCCCAGTGGTTCTTGAGAAGAAGATTTTTTAATGACCCCACCCTATTTTTGTCTTTTCTTGATTATGTTACCTTATGTTACCTTATGTTGATTCTGCCCGCAGCTCCTCTTGGTGCTCTATAGGCAGCTCTACTTTTTCTTGCGGAATTATAACTAGTCCTCTTCCGGTATGCGGTCCGTACTCTTGTGTATAATCAAACTTTAGAGGGTGGTGTTCCCAATATTTATCCAGTCTATTTTCAAATTGGTGTACGTTTTTTGCTAACACTACATTGTCTGGCAGGCTATTCCACAGATCCACGACTCTGTTGGTGAAGCTATATTTTCGAACGTCTCTATTGCATCTGTGTTTCACTAGTTTAAAACTGTTCCCTCTAGTAACATGCGTTTCACTCACTTGAAATAATGTAGTTGTAACTCTTTTATCATAAACTCCATGGATGATTTTAAATGTTTCGATCATATCTCCTCTCATACGCCGGTATTTCAATGTTGGTAATTTAAGAGTCTTTAATCGTTCTTCATAATTTTGGTCTTTCAGTTGTGGTAGCATTCTAGTAGCTCTTCTTTGTACATTCTCTATGGTTTCAATGTCCTTCTTTTTGTACGGTGACCATACGCTACTCGCATATTCAATATGTGGTCTCACTAAGGCTTTGAATAGTAAACAGAATGATTTAATATCAAGATGAATAAATGCTCTTCTTATTAGGCCACAAATCTGGTTGGCTTTGTTGACTTGCGTCTGTATATGCTTGTCAAAGCTGAGTTTGCTATCAATTGTTACTCCAATGTCTTTTTCGCTATCCACATTCTCTAGTGTTGTATCACCTCCTTCATATTTTTTCATACTATACTGGATACTGTCACATGTTTTGTTACTATTATGTATTTGGATTACTTTGCATTTGTCAGGATGAAATTTTAAAAGCCAAGTTTTGCTCCACATGAAAAGTTTGTCCAAGTCAGATTGTACTACTTTAGTATCGTTTTCATCTGTAATTTCTTTGAATATTTTCGTGTCATCTGCGAAGAGGAATACATCTGACTCAACACACTCTGGTAAGTCATTTATAAAAATCACAAACAGTACAGGCCCTAGCACAGATCCTTGTGGAATTCCACTTGTGACTTCATGCCATTTTGATTTATGACCATTTACTTGTACACACTGCTTTCGTCCACTCAGGAAATGTTCGACCCATGTACATAGTTGTTCACATATCCCATAGGCTCTCATCTTTGTCTCCCCTTGCGAGGGGATATGTCCCTTCATTTTAACAATTTAAATTCCCCTTCACCCAAGGATGCTTTGTGGCAAGTTTGGTCGAAATTGGCCCAGTGGTTCTTGAGAAGAAGTCGAAAATGTGAAAAGTTTACAGACAGACAGACGGACAGACGGAAGCCGGACAAAATGTGATCAGAAAAGCTCACTTGAGCCTTCGGCTCAGGTGAGCTAAAAATCAGAATTTGATTCTTTCATTTTTTTTTTTGTTAGAAAATTAAGACATAAAGGACATTTTTACCCAAAATATGTATTAAAAATTACAAGGTCTGTCTATGTTTCAGATCTATATTTCTAGTAAATCTTAGTACTATAGTGTAGAGAATGTAAAACATACCTTCTAATAGACCCTTAAAAGTCGGAGGCTGCTGTTTTCGGGCTTTTCTGCCTGGTCCAGATTTTACTACCTGTGTAGGATCTCTTTTTCTGCCCATTTTTGGATTCAAGTTTACAAAATAATTAGAAAAATCACAGGATTATCCTAAAAATATTCACCACGTGCATTCATCAATAAGACACAAGTAGGAAGTCTTCTCCGGAATATATAAAGGAAAACCTATCCGGAAAACGGTTCTTATTTTAAACAAAAAATATTGTTTCGTTTCAAGCAAACTTTCATGCATGTTCAGTATTTTAGTTGAAACAATAAGACAGAAATTAGGAGAGATAGGAGTGTGTTCCAAAGAAGAACGGAACATGGAAAAATACAGAGTGTAGAAGAAAATTGTACCCCCTCCTCCATTTATTGATATAAAAAAGAAAATACCACGGTAAGGGACTGAGATTACTGAAGACTTTTTAAGACGAAGAACCGAAATCCAGCTTTCCTTATTATCATATCTGAACCAGTGACGTGTTCTTCTCGCTACCTATAAATGTAGAGGACAGTCACAGTGATTGAGCGAAAGCGAAAGTAGGCAGTCTGGTTTTCCCTGTTTCCCTCCGAAAGCAAAAGGCGGGTGGCGGGCTGATGACTAACTTCTTTAATTTATTGTTATATATTGAATATGAAATGGGTAGGTTGCTTTTTAGATAAATTACCTTCTTGAAAAAGATAGTAAAAACATTGCCTCTTTTAAACACTTCTTAACCAAAAAATGCATCTCTATTGTTTGGACAGCTGGAAGTGCGGTGAGGCATGACTAAGTGTGATTGCCTTGCATTGTGCTCAATTATTACCAATCAATTATCTTGTTGACCAAAACTGTTTTCTTTGTGAAAGTAGATGCTTACTCACAGATTAACTGTTAAACATAGCCCCAAAACTTTTAGATTTATTTTAGATTGCAATTGCACAGAAGTAGTCCGAAAAATCAGACGTTTTCCTGGCTTTTTTACGATTTTGATATTTTTCATGCCAGGAAAACATCAGAACCGGCGCCATTATGAAAACTGGGAATTTTGCCGTCTTTAACTGGAGCTGATTTTCGATACTTGTGAATGGACCTAAATGCCGAAATCAGAATTTATCAAAGCACAATGCCTCTTGTACTCACCAATATTGATGAAAAGAAAATATCACTCCACATTTTGTAACAGGACATGCAAGATTTTAAAATGCACGAAATGAAGAAAAATCTTGACAGTGTGATAAAACCTTTTTCAACGGAGTATTTATTGCATAAATGAACCATAAAAACTATATTGGTAAGTTCTTTAAGTACTGTACTATTGATAACTTTTGACTTTGAAATTTAATTCAGTTCGCAAGTATCTAAAATCTACCAGAGAATGCTGCCTCCAGTTGGAGGCGGCGATTTCCCAGTTTTCATAATGACGCCGGTTCTGACGTTTTCCTGGCATGTAAAATATCAAAATCGTAAAAAATGCCAGGAAAACGTAAGATTTTTCGGACTACACAGAAGGAGAAACATTTTTATAAGTGGGTTTTTATACGCCCGTCTTAAGACGGGACGTATTATGTTATAGGCTTCATGTCCATCCGTCCGTCCGTCCGTCTGTCCATTCGTGTCCGGCTCATAACTTCAATACTATTAGGCCTAGGATTATCAAACTTTGTCAACTGATACTTCTTGGGTAGACGGTGTGTCGCGCGCAAAAAGTAGGTCGCTCTGACCTTTAATTAAGATGTTATGGCCAAATATGGAAATATCCTGTCCGGCTCATAACTAGTAAACTATTAGACCTAGAAATTTCAAACTTGGCAAATGTATACATCTTGGGTAGAAGGTGTGTCGCGACCTATTTCAAGGTCACTGTGACCTTTAATTTAAGTGAAATTTTTTAAAAAACTAAGTCTTTTAAATTTTGAATTTCATAATCCTAAAAAATGTAAAAATTTAGTTGTATCCTTATTAAAAAAGTGTACAATCAAGAAAATACTTATTTTTTTCAGCATATACTTGGCAGCAATCTATAACAAATATAATGTATGTTAGAGAAATCCCATGTCTCCCATGAGTGTAATTATCAAGCACTGGTCAAGAGTTCTGATAACAGAAAATTGCATGTCAAATTAGAGAGAAATTAATGAGTTTAGTGTGAGGAGCTAAACTGGAGAGCATCGTTGTTATCTATATCCCTTTGGGAATTAGGCAGATGGGTAAGCCTGGTGGATTAAAAATAGCTCTTGTTGTCTAGCCTAAGTTTTAAAATGAATTTGATGAAAAAAGTAATTAACACTAATTTGATATTGCATAATAAACTAATCTAATAATATATCATATTATTAATTTAAAAAACTAATTTCATAGGGGTGGAATCAGCATGTCCATTTTCCATAGAAAACCTTTCTGACATTATTAAATGTTAAAAAAAAAATCATTGAGTATTTTAAATTATATGATTTAAAAATATTTTATGGTAGATAGTGCAGATTCATTCTTCTATAGTAATGAGTAGACAAGCATCCAGTCAAAGATTAATTAATGAGTTCAATTTAGGAAGGCTAGCTAGCATCTTTTTATCTGTATCCTTTGGGAATTAGACAGAAGAACTGCTGGTCAGTTTAGATAGCATATGTCATTTGATGGCCAGCCTTTTATTTTCAAAATTAATTTGGTATAGATTAAGTTGTTAAGACTAATTTGATATTGTTTAATATGATGGGCATTTGACAAGGTCTAATACAACGAGTATAGAAATCTATCAATGATGTTATTTGTTATGATTAATGCCTACACCACAGGGGATGGATAAACAAATATTTTAAGGAATAAAAAAAATCATGGAAATTTTAGAATCAAGGTTTACGTAATTTTCTTGCACTCTAAACTGTTTTAAGTTAAATGTAATTTTTTTGACGGGCGTATCATGCTGTGGCGTGGCATTTTATTGGTGAATTGTTTTCAGTCAATTTCAAAGTTGAAAACTAATATTGCCTCATTATGCGACTTTTTGTCTGCTTTTCATAAAACAGAAATTTACTCTGAAATAGCTAAATAAAGCTATATAGGTAGATTTAGCTATATAGCTAAATATAGTGATTTTCCTGGACCTGGTGTTAGGATAACCAGAGACATGTAAAGATGTCTGGCTAAAGAATGTGTTTTCTGGGGCGCGCTTGTTATACCCCACACAACAAGTTGCGTGAGGTAGGCCTATATATCAAGTTTTTTGACCCGTCCGTCAGAGTGTCAGTCTGTCAGTCCTGTTATTTTTTTTTGTCAGCACAACTCCTCATAACAGGTTCAGCACAATACCTCGATAAAGGTATATACCTTGATAAAGCTATGTAGCTTTTTCAAGGTATTACAAATACCTTGAGCAAAGTATTTTGTGTAATGAAATTTCAAAAAATTCTTTAAAGATTAAATACTGAAAGTCGAGTTCTGAATTTTTGTCAGTGAGTCGTGCATGAAAAGCACTCTGGTATCAAAAAGACAGCATAAAAGTACGTCTCCTCACACGACATGCTTTTATACTGATTTCTTTGTGAGAGTATTTTACATACTGGTACGTGGGTGAATTTACTGACAACAACTCAGAACTCGACTTTCAGTATTTAATTTTTAAAGAATTTTCTTTGAATTTTTATTACAATAAATTGAACAGTTAATTAACAATAAATATCAAATAATTTAAGCAAGAATTTTCTTTAAATATATTTAAAAGAATACGAAAAAAATAAAATCTATTCATAATGGCATTAACCTAATGGAAAAATGTGTACGAAGAGTCCATGTTTTGTTGATCTTAGGCTATCTAAATTTAATTCTCTGGTTCTCAGGCCAATTTTCTTCAAAACAGATGCGGGAGGGGGGCATTTTATTTATCATTTTATTGGCAGAAAAGTAGATGAGGGAGGTATTTTTTTAATTTTAGTTTTCGAATTTTCTTTAACATAAAGATAATTTTTTTAATCACAGATATACTTTCCATTTCTGGTCAAAATTTCTGCTCTAACCATTGCTTATCAGCGTGTAAACATCGTAGGTAATGTCCTCGATTGTATTTTCAAACGAAGTAGCCAAAATCTCATTGCAAATGGCTACCGGATGTGATATTTGAATACTAAACTAGGAAACAATTGAGGTCGGAATTTTTTTTTCCGGATTGGTCTCCGCAATACCAACTTTTTATTTTATCAAAAATACAATAAAATAAGCAATGCGGCTACCTCAAAACGGATGCGCGCGGGCCTGAGAACCAGAATTTCAATTTTATATGGCCTTACAATTAAACAATTATAAAAAATAAATAATAAAATCCGCCTACTGGCCCCAATTTTTGAGCAAATTAGGATGAGAATCTAAAGATTAATTTTACCTGGCCATACCTAATGCATTTTATTGTTTTTTTTTTCACTTTAAAACTTGAATATGCAGGTGTACATTGCTACTTTTTACACTGGTGTACACCAAGTTAAGCTAAATCATTAGCCCCTTCACGATAACTGCGGTACTACAATTTTGCAGGGCAAAATAATAACGTTTGGCGGAGTTTTTGTTGATAGATAATTAAATGACATAATATAAACAATTACTTTTATGTCATATTTCACCAAACTGTATCATTTTGCCCTCATACATGCCAACTTTTGAAAATTCCCATGGGGGATTTTGTGCGTGACAACAATTTTCAAAGCTTTAAATTTGCGACATTTTGTCGTGAAAATAAATGATTATCAAATACTTTTTATACGCCCATCTTAAGACGGGACGTATTATGTTATAGGCTTCATGTCCGTCCGTCTGTCTAGCTGTCCGTCTGTCCATTCGTGTCCGGCTCATAACTTGAATACTATTAGACCTAGGATTATCAAACTTTGACAGTTGATACTTCTTGGGTAGACAGTGTGTCGCGCACAAAAAGTAGGTCGCTCTGACCTTTAATAAAGATGCTATGGCCAAATATGGAAAAATCCTCTCCGGCTCATAGCTAGAAAACTATTAGACCTAGAGCTTTCAAACTTGGCAAAATTATACATCTTAGGTAGAAGGTGTGTCGCTGCCTATTTCAAGGTCACTGTGACCTTAAATTTCAGTGAATTTTTTTTAAAAACTAAGTCTTTAAAATTTTGAATTTCATAATCCTAACAAATGTAAAAATATAGTTGTATCCTAATTTAAAAATGTTAAATCTGAAAGTAAAAACTTATTTTTTCATCATATACTTTACAGCAATCTGTAACAAATGTTAATGTTTTGAGAGGAATTCAGTTTGTCCCATGGGCATAATTATCAAGCACTAGTCAAGAAAAATTTCGATAGCAGAAATTTGCATGTCAAATTAGAAAGAAATTAATGAGTTTATTGTCAGGAGCTAACTGGTAGAGCAGATCTCTGATAATGAAGCTGTTATCTTTATCTTTAATCTCTTGGGAGTTGGGCAAAAAGAAATGGCCTCATAGTTGCTTGTTTTAATTAAGAGTTCTTGATGGCTATCGTCCAGATAAAGATCTTTCAGTTGGTGTAATGTAATTAAAACAAATTGATGTTTTAGTGTATGGAAACTAAATTAGTATTTTATAATATAATGAAAACTAATTATACATGTGTTCATTGAAAAAAAATTACATTTCAATTTTTATATATTTGCAACAAATTGCAGTCAT